TTCCTAAATCATTCTTAGAATTTACAATAAATATTAATTCAAGTATTCTTTTGTGCTCGAAAACTGATTACTTGTTGCGGTAATAAAGTCCAGATATTCAACCTCGAAGTTGAGCCGTTTAGCATGGGATTCATATAAAAAGTTTGTCCAAAAGAGACATTTTTATGAACGGTAACAAAAATTTCCTGAATATATATTTAAAAGACCAAACTAAATTATATTATAACATGCAAAATAATATGCAATTAATCTTGATGACTTGCGATATTCATTTTCGAAAAATATTCATCTAAAGTGAATAATGTCAATCATTTCTCGAACAGACGCGACAGACGAATGAGGAAGAGATTGATAACTTGACAACAACAAATCGTTAAGGTCTCAGGACTGTAAGGTGTATTATTATATTAGTAATCATACCATATGGAAAATTGAAGAAATAACAAATTAATCGTTAATAATTATGTATATGGACCTGAATTTATTTTAAGTTGAGCACAACTGCTCCTCGCGAACGTCCTTGAAGTTAGGATTTTCTTTAAAGAACAAGGATAGCCTCATAACTTTCCTAACTTCCGCAAATAGTATTTTGCTCTCAAAGGGGAGCTACCGAAAACACCGCCGTCACTATGCTTTCCATACGTTCCGACGTCAACTGCATCCACAAGTGTTAGGAAATCAATGGAAACGATCTATTATATTTAAAATATTGGGAGCCCGTTTTGGCAGGCGCATCAATAATGATATGCTTGCCATCCAGCGCTTCTAAGCGATTAGAAAAATTCCACTTGCCTTGAAAATCAAATTCAATACGACGCCACATTTCTTCCATCGTCACGGGCTATAGCATTACTTTTGGCATAAGCACGATCGCCGCACAGATCTCGTGGATAATAATACTTCAATTTGTCAAAAATATATTCTGGCTCTTGTGTTTCTTCCGGATTTAATTCTATACCGGATGCTACCGGTTGTTCCTCTTCTTCTTCTGAGCTCGCCTCTTCATTCCCATTTACGTTACTTTCGTCTCTGTTTCCCCCATCCTCGTCGGTACTGTCCATTTTTTTTTTTATATAAGCCATAAGCGTATTCGATGATATCGTTTAAATACTTGTAGCCATTCCTTGCTCACTCTAAAGTTCAAAATACCGAAAGCGACGCTTAATTTCTTCGCCTGTTTTATTAATAACTCATCTAAAAAAAATCTCCCTCAGTTCATATAATCTAAACCACCACCATTAACATATCGCATCTTAGGCTTTCAAGTCTCCGATGCCGAAATACTGGGCGATTTTGAAAAATACAAATAATTTTGCACATATACAGGGTGGTTCATCGGGTACTACCACCTCGATTTTCTTCGTTATTATTATACGTACCAAAGAATGTTTTATACAATTTCGAATGGTTTCGTGAGAAGCACATTCTGGTGTTGTGAGCTGTTTTATAGGTGGACGCGTAGAAAAGATATGAAAGTCATCAACGTTCTCTTTAAACGAGATTGAATACCAAACTGAGTGTATGGGCAGAAATTTATGTTTTCAATACATTTTATTAACATTTTATTACATTTCAAAATGTACGTATTTTATGTTACAGGCAATGTTCAACAGCAGGAAGATGTACAGCCGCATTACAGCCGGGATATAAGTACCAAATCAAAGTAAAGTAACCCGATAAATTCCATACGTTCCGCAGACTTTATAACGTACCGATAGAAATGAAAAAATGTTGGACAAATCCAGATTTGGGTACAAAATAGAAAAATGAAATCCGGTAGCCGAGATAGAATTAAATTCAAAAGAAACAAATGAACTAATTTACAGAAAAACGTATTGATTCAATTAAGAAACTAACGGCCAGATGAAACTCTGGTTACAAAATAGGAAAATGGACAAATAACAAAAGTCGGGATAGAATTAAATCCAAAAAAAGAGAGGAACATGAATATGATGGCAGCCGGGATAGAATTAAATTCAGAAGAAGAATGGAAATTCGAATATGGCATCATAAAATACGCTTTCGGTGACATATTTATTGAAGGACGTACTGATTAGGATAAAATGTAATGACCAGGTGAAGATCTGGTTTCAAAATAGGAAGATGAACAAATAACGGCAGCCGAGATAGAATTAAATTCAGAAGAAAAATGGAAATTCGAATATGACATCATGAAATACGCTCTCGGTGACGTGTTTATTGAAGGACGTACTGACTAGGATAAAAAGTAATGATCAGGTGAAACTCTAGTTCCAAAATAGGAAAATGGACAAATAACAACAGTCGGGATAGAATTAAATCCAGAAGAGAAATGAAAACTCGAATGTGATGTCCTAAAATACGCTTTCGGCGGTGTACTTACAAAAGAACGTATTGATAAAGATGAACAAGTAACGACCAGGTGAAAATTTGGTTTCAGAATAGGAAGATGAACAAATGACAATAGCCAACTACTTTAAAGGACCGATTTGGGAAAGGGAGAGAACATGAATATGATGGCAACCGGGATAGAATTAAATTCAGAAAAAGAATGGAAATTCGAATATGGCATCATAAAATACGCTCTCGGTGACGTATTTATTGAAGGACGTACTGACTAGGATAAAAAGTAATGACCAGGTGAAAATTTGGTTTTAGAATAGGAAGATAAACAGCTAACGGCAGCCGGGATAGAATTAAATCCAGAAGAGAAATGGAAACTCGAATGTGATGTCCTAAAATACGCTTTCGCGGTGTACTTACAAAAGAACGTATTGATAAAGATGAACAAGTAACGACCAGGTGAAAGTTTGGTTTCAGAATAGGAAGATGAACAAATAACAATAGCCAACTAGTTTAAAGGACCGATTTGGAAAAGGGAGAGAACATGAACAGATCTCGGATATTAAATTGTCTGAAATCGATAAGAGCGAAAAACACAAAGTGAAGAAATAAAAAAGTACATTCCATTAAGGTCTATTGAAAGATTCATTTACTTCGATCGTTTATTAGAAAATAATCCACAGCTTTTTGTGGAAGTACTAAGTAAATTTGTTGCAAGCAGTAAGTAAATTTGTCAGAAGAAAAGTATGATCGGGAATATAGCATTATCAAATACGCTTTCGGCAGTATGTACAAAAAAGTATATCTATAAAGGCGAGATAGTAGAGGTCAAATAAAAATATAGTTACAAAATAGGAATGTGAGCAACCGAAAGCAGGGGTGATAAAATTAAATCTAGAAGACAGAGAAGAGCAGGAACATAGTTTCAGAAGATTGGAGTACTATTTGACTATTATCCAAGAATGGCGCGAACATGAATTGCAGAATCGTCTAGGTAATATAAAAATGAATTACTATTAACATAAATAGCATTATATTAAGTATATTCAAGAATAATCAATTATAATTTTATTTTTCAGGTGAACAATAGTGATATATTGAGTACTGGTTTCAATTTTTATAGCGCAACGACCTTAAGTCACGATCTGGATTAATGATATTAGAAACATGAAATAGGAAATTTACACTTACCTTTAATGGTTAACTAATTATAAACGAAGAAAGTTGAGACGAGAACAATACGATATATTTAACATACGGGTAGTTAGGTAGACTCATCGACGATGTATGAGAAACGATACTTTCGTACGCAAATTCTATGAACACATGGCAACTTTAATGTACTCGGCTACATGTCCGTTCATATTAAATTTATATGTTTATTTTAAATAATGTAACGTTTGAGATCGTTAAATTCGAGTGTGTTTATTATGTAATTGGTGAGAATTTCTATTGAAACATTGAATGTATTAATGTTCCATGGTCTACAGAATAAACTTAATAACAATTCATAAGGTTTTATCGTGTTTTAATGATTTTTCAGGTTTCTTTTAAATCCTGTAAGTGTCTTAATACTTCTAGATGTCTACGTCGACGACAGTTCCTGCTTGGAGCATGCACAGTTGGCCACTCGCTCTGCGGGAGTCAAGGAGGCACCCAGTTTTTACATGCCTTTTCCTATATTTCGGCACTACTTTTCGTCGTGTCGTCCTAGTAGAAAAGATCCTTTATATGTGTTTCGAATCATGGACCTGAAGGATAGTGCATAGTCGAGCGAGCGGAGACCGAAAAATGGAAGAAAAAACAGCTCCCAGCCGCAATGTTTTGGTCCTCACCGTGGTACACCCTACAGTCGAATATATGTAATTAATGGTAGTGAGAAAGAGATCTGCGCATTATATTGATCAAAAATTATGTGTTCTCACTCTCACTACCATTACTCCCCTCTAAATTAAAATTAAGAAAAGAAAAAGGATGGGCATAGGATAATAAAAATAGAAATAGTACTTTGCGAAGTAAGAATTTTAATCAGGTCTCATATTAATACCTAAACAGAATTTAATTAATCACGAATCAGCTTTAGGTTCTTCTGTCACTGCTGCAAATTGATCCAAGTACATATTCTATTTGTTCTTTCCTTTCTAATACCAAGATCATTTCTAACACCAATTTCTCTACCTTCGGTGGTACATTAATTCCAACCAACTTAAACACTGCATTCCTAGTTAGTATTCCAATATCTCTCAGTCTTTTCCGTTGCGTTCTTTTTATCTCCTTGATATACTTCTGTAAAGATGGAAAACGGTTTTAAAATTGTACGTGTAAAGTAATGAGAGTAT